ATCATACACCGGGCCGCACTTGCTCAAGACCTGTCATTATTGATGTGGTCATATCCTCTGACTGCGAAGGAGTGGTGGACAATATACAGAGAGGCACCGGTGGACGGCATGCTACCATTGTCAAACAGATTTTAGATTTGGTGGGCCATTTTACCAAATGTACCTTCATCTTTGAAGGTCGTGAGACCAACATGGAGGCTATAGCCTCGCTAAACACACTTTAGGACTTCCGTTAGGACGTCATCTGTGGCTCCTTAATCCCCCGGACCTAAATTGTATCCCTATGAACCTTGTCCTTGATCAATAAAAAGAAGTGTGTTTAGACTAAAAAAGATAAATGGAGGAAGAGAGGAAGGAATTGGAGCCGTACCAGAGAAAACAGAGTGCAAGACAACCTTTGGCTCATATAGTAGCAGCCTAGCAGGACAAAAATCTCCTGCCAGTGTCCACTCCATTGCATACATACCAAATTGGCACACTGAAGTGCCCGCACAAATCCACCTTCTGATCTGGCCCATTAGAACTCGCATTGAGAGTGTGTCACGGCATGCAAGCGACCACAATCATCAGCTCATTGTACTGGGTTAAAATCCCATTAACCCTAAAATCCAACACACTGCATTTTTGAGAGGTAAGATGGATTTACTTGATTCTTGCCCTCGTACACGACCGACGTAATCTTTGTCGAGGGCTCATCGTCCTCCTCCATCTTCGCCCTGCTATCGACCATCCTCGTTACACATATAACAACTTACTTGAACACCGACTGATTTGCTAATTAATAGCATTGCATGCAATGAACAACCACAACATGTCGTGTTTAGTAGTCTCAAGTCATTATAAGCATGCACACCCACATCTCTTATTGGTTGATACTAGTGGTTGGGGCGGTGCCAGGTAGGACACGCCCCTTTCACTAATTTCCTATTTGTACTTTGCATGAGACTCAAAGTACAACACTACAAGTTTCTGGCTGGAACAATGAACAAGAGCTCTGACATCATAGATATTAACAAGTGCGTATCAACTGGCAGGGAGCAGTCTTAGAGGTTTACATGAGCGATAGCATACATGATACTGGTTCAATTCAAAAGCAACGGTCAGGTCCACATCCCAAGGGTCGGGCTGGCTACCACTTTGGTGTCACTAGACCAGACGAGCCGGCCGAATCCGAATTCGCTCATGCCTGGCGGCTTTCCCTCACGGTGTAGCTCTTCTTCTCGCCCACCTTGGTTATGGTCAGTGACTCAGTGTTGATCAGCGTGCTGCCCGCCGTTGCGGTGGCCATCACCATATGTGTCGAAGACACACATTAATCCTTCCACTGCCGCAGAAATGAGTTTACTCTGCTGGTTCGGTGCAAATCGAACCTGTCCAACAAAGAGTGATAAATCAGCATAACAATAAACCCAATATAGAACCTGTAATGAATAAATAGCATCTCGCTGAAATGAAGTCAATACAAAAGTAGAAATATTTTAGACAGTAATGCCAGCAAAAAAGTTAACAAAACAAAAGTATGTGATAACACTAATTTCCATTGTAAAACAACATGTACGTGTAAAACTCTGTAGAATAAGTCACCTTTTTTCCCATCCCTCCCGCGTCGCCCCGCGTGCGACGGGGAGGGCGCCCAAGTCGCCGCCACCAGAGGCCTCCTCCGCTCCGCTCCTCCTCCCTCGCCGCCGCCACAAGGTGCGGCCAGGCAAAGCCTGGCCGGCGCCGGCGGGGCATTCTCGTCGCCTCGCGCGGAGGCCCCGATGCGGGACGGGGTGGCCTCGGCGAGATGCGATGCTGGCGGTGGGCGCAGCGGCGCGGCGGCTCTCCGGCGCAGTCTCGCGCGGCGGCCGAACGTGGGCCGTGTGCCGGGCGGCGCGGTGGTGGGGAGCATGGCCGTGGGGGCGGCTCACCTCGTCTTCGATCTGGATCGGGCGGGGGAGGTGCCTGGCGGGCGGTGCGGGTTGGAGCTGGCGCGGACGCCTGGGAGGCGGCCCCGGAGCGGTGGTGCGGAGCGGCACGCTCGGCCTGACGGTCCGCTGTGGAGGCGGGCGACAGTGGCTTGGCGGCGCAAGTTGCGGGCGCAGGCGAGGGCGTGCACAGCGGATCTGGCCTAGCGGCGCTCGTGGGCTATGCTGCTCTTTCGGCGGCGACTTCGAGTGGTGCCATGGGCCTGCTTCGTCAGAGGGGATTGGAGGATGTCGGGGCGGCGGCCCCGGGTCTTGCCGGCGGATTGGTCGTCGTGTGTGGATCTTGTTCCTACTTCGAGGATCCACACCGAGTGGTGGCGGTTCTGCCGACGAAGTGGGAGGTGCTGCGGCTAGCAGGTCACTGAGAGCCGGTGGACGTCGACCATGGGGATTGTGTGCTGTGCAGTGCTTCGGATCTGCTCGGATTTGAAGGTGTGGTGGAGCTCTGGGCGAAAGTCCAGCCCCGACCTTGGGTCGGTGCCGGCAACGGCGGCGCCATGGCGTCGTTCCCCTTCTTGAAGGCGTTGCCGTGGAGCTCCATTGCACGACTCTCCGGGAGAAATCTCTAGCTTCGGATGGTCGAAGCGGGCGATGATGGCGGCTACGTCGTTTCCTTCTTTGAGGCATCGCCTTGGAGAGTCAACATACTGCAGTTTGCACGGATCTCTTCGTCGTCGGGGACAGTGGACGTCGGGGCGGTCTCGGGAACAATGTGAGTTGCAGCTCTATGAGGTGGGGCTCTATCTCGACATTGGTTGGGTGGCATCCTTGTCCCGCTTGGGCGGTAGGGGTGTCGGCTCGGTCGATGCGCCCTAGAGGGGGTGCTTTGACTTTACGTCGGGGCGGCGGCCCCGGATGTGGTGCGACGTTCGTGGTCTGCGAGCGGTTGCCCTGAGTAGCGTGGGCTGCGGGCAACTGGATTGTGCGGCATTGCTGCTCGAGGGGAGCGGTGGTATGTCGGGGCGGCGGCCCCGAAAGGCGGTGCCGGTTGATTGCGCAGGGCGCGACGGAGCGGTGGATGTCGGGGCGGCGGCCCCGAGAGAATCACTGTGGCGACCAGACTTCTATGACAACAATGATGGTGGGAGCGATGTCGGCGACGCGGCAATGGTTGCGATAGTCGGCTCTTCTCCGGTGTGTCCACGGTATTGCCTCGGTTTGTTTGCTGCTGTGGAGTCGAAGCCGCGGCGGCGGGGCCCTGTGGTGTATGATGACTGGCTGCAGGTGGCCCTTTCGGCGATCTTCCGTGGCGCCAGTCGTGCCTGGTTCTGTTCTTCTGAGTTCTCCATCAGAGTCGGAGCTGCGTTGTCTGGCCGTAGATCGACATGTTGCCGATTAGGGTGGGCTTTGCCCTGTGTGTTTCAGTCTTTGGGAGTGGGCTTGGCCCTTGTTGTTCCGGTTTTTGCCCGGTTTTCCATAATTAACTGGGCAATTCTCTTCTGCTTAATTAATAGATGAGGCAATCTTTGTCTCTGTTTCGAAAAAAAAAACTCTGTAGAATGCGAATACCTGTGTTACATCGTCCATGTGGGATTCCTCTAAGCAAGCTATTTGTTTTGAATTTGCCCAGGCCCATAATTAGAACCTAAAATCAAGCAACTTGAGTCGGACTCAACCTGAATAAACCTCATGAAACCTCATCGTTTTTGCTCTAACAGATGACATATGAACTAAAACCACAACTTCTGATAGAAAAGATATTGTAAGGGAAAACCTGAACTATATTGGCAATTAGTCCCTCCGCAACTTAATATAAGACGTTGCAAAAAGCTGGTAGTGATCTGAAGGTTATAGAAAAGGATATCGCAGCAACCACTAACAAGATACAGGACTGTGAAGGGCTTATTGTGCTCAGAGAACAAGAGTCAGCCATAGCAAGTTACAAAAGGCTCTGGCTGGACTCCTCTGCTGCTAGAGCAGAATTGATTGCTGCAACTGAAACAGATGACAGTGAGGAAGTGGAGATCTTACACAAAGAAGCTGACGCCACGGAATCTAAAGCGCTAGAACTGAAAACATTATATAACCTTCAGTTGGATAGCGACGAATATATATTTCAGTATGTAGTTCCTAAGTCAGTATTATTTCAATCGATAGGGACGGATATCTCTCTCTCTCTCTCTCTCTCTCTCTCTCTCTCTCTCTCTCTCTATATATATATATATATATATATATATATATATATATATCAGCATGTATTTTAGAAAAAAATCAACACGGTAGCACTTGTTCTACTTCTACAATATATACTTAATATTGCATAAATAAGTTGATGAATCGAATTCGGCTTGTTCTACTTCTACAATATATACTTCATATTGCATATATAAGTTGATGAATCAAATTTCTGCTTGTTCTACTTCTACAATATACACTTCATATCGCATCAAGCGGGTGACATTCTCACAACCAAGCGTACTCTGTATTATTTGTTGTTTGAATTGAAGCTTTGGGTAAAAATAAACTGAAGCTTTGGGTAAAAATAAACTGAAGTATACCCCTAAACTTTGATGGACCCCGAACATGCTATTTGATCAATTTCAGACGGGAGCAAGATGAAAACCTGAACGGTGCCTTGGTTAGTCCCTACAGATAGGTGGGTACCACGCTGCGCCCAACTAACAAACAGTGTGGTCCGCCCCCAAATCATAGAGCTTGGTGACCTTGTGGAGTTAAAAATTTGTTTAGGATCCCTCTTAGAGTTTCAGAATAGAAATCGGATAACATTGGTTGCACACACCTTGCTGCTGCATTCCACGGGTAGAAGCAATTCCCCGATCCGACCGAGAGGACATTGTGCGAAGACCAATCCACGAAGTTGAGGTAGAAATCGTCCTGCAATACGGGCGCATACAGAACACCTAGGAGGAGAATTCAATTTTCGTGAGATTTTCTATTTGAACATGAATTTGAATATAATAACAGATACTCTTGGAATACCAATGGGCATGAAAAACAAACAATAACCATAAGAGATTCACCTGCAGGAATATGCAATTAGCACAACAATGTGTAACAGCAGCAACAGAGTATTCATGGCATGGAAGCAAGCACAACCCAACTATCCCCAAGATTTAGAATGCAGAAATCTGTTCCCTCGAGAAGCACAACCAGGACACAAGATCCAACTGAAACTAAATTTGGTCTATCATCCATATCTTGTTCAACCATGCATAAGAAGTGATTCTCAGCTTGCTCAACAGCAGAAATAAGGCAATTCAGCACAGCAGCTCGAAAACTTTCAGAAAGTTTTACAGCATTCTCTGCAATTTCCATGGCTAATGTTAACTAACTTTTAACCCCATTAAGGGAGTGCACTGATGAGCTATATAGGCCATCTTGTTGCTTGATGCGACACTCTAACAAGTAAAGGTAAATATACTATGCTAACATATAGAGTCACTGCCAGAAAATCAGCTGCATCTCGTCCATTAAATCTATCATAAATTCTACAAATGAACCATCCATTTTTCTCAGAGCACACAGCTTGGACTCTATCCTCTCCAGCTGCTCCAGCTGCCATCTTTACCTCGGAACCAATCAGAAAATTGGATGATACAGTTGTTGGAGCACTGGATCTCCAAAGATTTTTACTGACTTCAAATATGGAACTCTCAGTTAATGCAGGGTTGCCTTGTGAGGTGGATATCAAATCCAACCTTCACATAGATGGAGAAGAGACGATTTTTCTGAAAGAATTTGGTCATAGCAACCTGCAGTCCACCATTGCAAAAGACAACAAGGGAGTTCAGCAATACCTGAACTGAACTACACATTAATGAATGAAGAAATAAATAATGTACCATAAGAGATTCACTTGCAGGAATATGCACTAAACACGCTGTCCTTGAATTGCCTCCTGCAGCCAGTACCGTGGTTCCAATAGCAGGTCCTCCTCCTGGATCGAATGGCCCTGCTACAAGGAAGCTGGAGACGGGGCGATTTGGCCGTCTCCACTGCATGACTCCCAGTGCCGTGTCAACCTTGGTCCCACTGGTACTGCATCTGGTCCGCCGCGCCCGCGCCCCTCGACGGCCTCGGTGACGCAGGAGAGCGGGCAGGAGGCATCGAGGAGGAGCGCAAGAGGCGCCGGAGCGGCGTCGGCGTCCATGACTTGCCGTTCCTGATTGATCTTGACACCTCTGATTCAAAACATCTGGCCTCCCACAACCTCAGAATCCACCGCCGAACTTCGCGTCGAGATCGCCGTCCCGAGTGGAACGCCCGCCGTCCTTCTGCCTACCCTCAGTCTCGAGGTGGATTTCGGGATGGGGCAACCCAGGCAGGGTGAGGAGAGGAACGAGGAGTAGAGGGTGCCGGAGAAGCGGCGGCGCAGCGACTCGGGCGAGGACGAGGCGAGGGGGAGGGGAATGGCAGAGTGGGGAGGAAGCGTACGTGTCGGCTAGGTTTACATGTTTTACCCAGATATTTTTTCACCTCAGCGTTGCACAGTAATTTTGTCAACGTGGACGCTACAGTTAATGGGTTTAATGTCAACA